GGACGGCGTCTGACTATATGTCTCACCACCGTCCGACGAAAACTCGTCGCCGCCGACTACAGTTCTTATTTTGAACAGAGTATACTAAGTTTATAAGTTATTTGGGCTAAATTATATTAATTATGCATTTGCATGTATTGCTAGTTAATTTTAGTATAAAATATAATAATATGATATGTATGTTAAGTACATAATTTCGATGGTAAAAGCGCAATACTTATACATAGTGTTTATAATAATTTATAAGTATTACATATTAAAACATTTTGAATTTGAATCTTTAAAAATGTCTTATAATTACTATAACATTTACACATATTTAATTTATTTTAGCAAATTAATTTTGGTAAATATTCTTCAACTAATTGCACATGAATAATATTTTGTGAAACAAATGTATAATTACTTTTATTTTGTTTATACATATTTATTTTTTACCATTTAATTTTGTTTACATAAAAATTATAACTATTTATAACTAAAATTGCTAATAAATTATTTACTAAAAATTAAGTTTATATATTATTTTAACATAAATTCATATTTTATTGTTTCTAAGATCATAATATAGACAATATATCTGAGTTCTACATGGATATAATATTAATTATCACTTATAACTTATAACTATTAAATTAGTTTAGTAGTAGCGTAGTACCTACCTTCCATTCGACCAGAACATGTTTTGATACGTTCAAATATAAGTAATAATTCTCTGACTAAAGCTGAAGCTTCAAGACCATTGCACAGATCAGGTTCAAACACAAGTTCCATTAACCCTGTTCCAGCACGATTTAAATCTATAAGTGAACTAAAGAATACATTAGGTATTTTAAATATAAATGAACATGACATGTTACAGCATGTTATGTTCTTATAATATGAAGACATTTAAATGTAATATACTTCATACATTTTTAACTGTATAAGTATGCAAAAAGAACACTCAAAATTGACAGTCATTACTGATACAGTGATAAACAATAGCAAAGGTATGTTTATATCAGAGATCTCTATATGAAGTATTTACATAGTAATATTGTATACACCATTAAAAAAAAAAAGGTAAGAAATTATAAATAATATGGATATAATTTACATTATTTGAATAGTTTTAAAACGGAAGGCTAGCTTTTAAAAATATAAATGAAAATTATAATAAAAAAATTACGTTTTAGTAGAATCATCATGAATTGTGCGACCGCTGTCTTGTTCTAGCTGAACTTGTTTGATTAAAGAAGTTTTACTGTAGGGAACTTTTTTTATATTTTCATCTATAACATGAAAAGTAAGTTGACCGTTTTGTGCTAATGGATGAAACTGTTGAGTTATTTGGTAACCTGCCTGAAAATATTAATGATAATAAATTATTAGTTAGTTATTATGTAATTGTTTTACGCATGTAAACAATCGAATATAAATTATAATACATAAAAACAACATATTTAGAGTAAGCAATAAAATATAAACTTTGTATGATGGTTTAAATTTGTGTACATTTCAGATGTACCACGAAAAATTAAAAACAAAACTATTTTGTATTTTATTAGGTACTTAACATGGAAAGTTAACTTTGCGTTATTTGGCACCATTAACCACATTTTTTAATTATCAATTATCTTCAACAAACTATTTCTCCAATAAAGAATAAATATTCCTCACCATAAGTTTGGTTATATCTAAATTCAGTATCATGTAGAGGTAATTTTTGATTTATAGCTATACGGTAATAACTTAAAAATATGCTTAAATAAATACATAAAATAAGATATAATTTTACCGGCATATCTGCATAAAAGTAGTGTTTACGATCAAATGATGACACTGTATTTATATTACATCCTAATACTAACGCAGTTAATATGGCTGCCTCGACACATTTTTCATTTATACTCTGTAAACAAATTTGTTTTATGTTTTAATATTAATACACATCTATATGAGTTATTTGCAATTAAACCATCTAAAACATACAGGAAGTGTTCCAGGAATTGCAGCATCGAACAATGCCACTTGTGAATTGACCACTGCATCAAATTTAGTACCAGCTGCACTAAACAACTTTGATTCACTTGAAATTTGAGCATGTATTTCCAATCCAACAACACTTTTCCATTTACTGCAAAGCATTAATTGTTCTTAAAAATATATAGCTATATAATCGATTTTAAATTTTGTTCCAAATAAATATATTGGTAGACATTATGAAACAAACTATATTTTTTGCAAAAATTAATGTAAGAAATAATGAAACATTTGAACTAAAATATGAAATATTACTTTTTATCAAAAGTTTTCATGCTCTTATTCCTTGAAAGTTTAAGCCGATTTAATACTTGTTGTAAAGTATGTTTCATCAATAGTTTTCTGACAAACATCTTATTATTTTATTGTTTTCTAAATTGTAATACAAAATAATTATTAAATATTAATCACATTTTAAGTATTATAATTTATTTTTTTATAATAACAAAACACAGATATCTATATTATACTATACTATAATATAGATATCTGTGTAACAAAATATTTTAAAGCGGTGAATTTTTGTGTTATCTGTATTTAGATAATTTTATCAAATTTATTTTAACCACGGTTGTGGTTAAAGATAATATTAATTTGAACCTAACCTAGTTTTTCGTATAAACAATTTGTTATCGATGTTATTGTTATTTATTAGTTTGTTTACGAAAGTCGAAAATTAACAAAATTAAAGTGGAATGTGGAATTTTGGAATTTCTAAAAATTCTTAAGTTCAACAAGACGTGTATTGTGTAATCCTAATTTACCAATTACAGTTTACAAATGTCTTATAATTTACTTTTATAGTCAGCAGTTATGTATTTCAGAGCAAACCATATAATTTCGATCTTTGATGTTTAGTTTTGTTATGCTATAATTGTACGAAACAAATTTAAATCGTTCAAAATGAGTGGTGGACGTCAACGGTCTATGTTCACGGTTCACCCAAATCAACAGTCTGAATCAGGTATACACGGTCAAACTTATTTATTAGAAACACTGACAAACTGCACGGACCCCTTAAAAGCTATCGAAGAGTTCCAAGTAGACAATGGAATTCATTTGCCGTCGCTCCGTCAAATGTTACCTTTGCTCGATCTCCATGGCATTCGGCGTTTGGATTTTCATAACTCTATATTGGAAGCGCTGCGCGATAAATTAGTAGCACATATCGAAGAAATCGGTAAAAAAGAAGGACGTGACCGGGATCGTAAGCTCAAGGACATGTTGGCCAAGAGTTTTCCTTCAGTTCATATAAAACAACTAAGACCCATAATTATGGCTATTCTGAAAAACATATCTCATATCGATGATAAATACTTAAATGTATTGGTTAAAGACACTGAACTCTATAAAGATACAGATACAGAAGTGAAAAGACAAATTTGGAAGGACAATCAATCACTATTAGTTAATGAAGTGTCACCTCTACTAACGCAGTACATAAGGGAAAAAGAAAATATTCTTTTCGACCACAATAATTTGACAAATTTATTCTTTACACCGTCGCCAAAATTAAGACGTCAAGGAGAAGTGGTACAAAAACTTGCACATATGATAGGCTCGAGTGTAAAATTATACGATATGGTTTTGCAATTTTTGAGAACATTATTCTTGCGTACTCACAATGTACATTATTGTACACTAAGAGCTGAACTTTTGATGGCATTGCACGATCTGGAAATTCAAGATATTATATCCATTGATCCGTGTCATAAGTTCACATGGTGTCTCGATGCTTGTATTCGAGAACGCAATGTTGATGTTAAACGATCCCGTGAACTTCAAGGGTTTTTAGATAGCATTAAAAGAGGACACGAAACAGTATTAGGAGATTTATCCATGACATTATGTGATCCGTACGCCATCAATTTCTTAGCGACTTCAACTATTCGAATACTTCATCATTTAATTAACAATGAAAATTTACCAAGGGAAAATCATGTATTGGTTCTGTTGTTGAGAATGTTGTCTCTTGGTTTGAGCGCTTGGGTTATGATTGATACACAAGATTTTAAGGAGCCAAAATTGGACAGTCAAGTAGTCACTAAGTTTATGCCTGCCTTGATGTCACTCATGGTAGATGACCAAGTTAGGGCTTTAAATACTAAAATGCCTCCTGATGAAAGGGAATCTGCAATTACCATTATTGAACACTCTGGACCTGTTCCAGATGCTGTGCAAGCATATATACAAGAGAGTAGCGTCGCATGTACAGTCGCCATGTATTATACATTACATGTTGCTAAGGCTAAAGACAGATTAGCATTAATGAGAATATTGGGATCTTTGGCCAACTGTGATCATGACCGTGCTTTCGAGGATCCATTTCTTCATTTTTTGGTGGCACTATTAATACAACAAGTCGAAGAATTTGCTGCTGAAGATTTTTGTACTGTAATCTTTGATGAATTTTTTTGTACTGGACTGAGCAGAGAAAATGTAGTTAGACATGTATTAAAACTAGTGTGGCATGTTTATCCAAAGTTACCGCCAAGTAGATTAAATACATTAACCAAAGTTTTACAACCAAGTTCAACACATGATGAGGCTGTACACAAACTGTACACAGACTTTGTAGAAAAAATTTCAACAGACGCAGAACCTCCACCAGAACCGCCAAGTTTTGATTATTTGGAATCGCCATTGATGAGTGTACCTACACCATCACATTATTAAACAACGATCTATTGTATATTTTATCAATACTATTTAGTAATAGTTATTATTATTACCTATAGTTTAAAAACAATATAATACAATGACAGTTGATTTCTGACGTGAAATAAATTAAGATTTATTAAAATAATAATTTTTATGCTTTATAAACTTTTCTGTTATCCATAGAGAAAGACAATATATATTTATTTTTTTCAAGTTTGTAGTTATTATAATATATAAATAGTATTAAGTACAATTTAACAGACAGAAATTTGAAGGTTTGAAATTATTTTATTTTTTTTTTTATATTTAAAGAATTATTCAAATTCCAAAGTTGTTTTATTTTCCTTTGTATTTAACTGAACAAGTGAACCATTTGGAGGTCTTTCTTCATTTTTAATCCATTTAGAAAATAATCTGAAAAATAAAATAAATATTAAAAAATTTCATTTTTGTTTGTGGTTAAAAAAGGAATGCATAATAATTATAATTATAATACAAATTAATTATAAAGAAAAAAAATGAATGAATTATTATTATATTTTTTTTTCAATTTAATAATCTAAATCATATTCAAAATTGTTCATTGTAAAAAAAAAATGCATTTAATAATTAAAGGAATGATAACCATCTACGATATCCAAGTTGTAATTTTTTTTCACAAAAGCTAGAACAATATATTTAAGGAATAAATTGTTTTAAGAATTAAATGTTGTTACTCCACACGGTACTTACTCTGCAATAAATTCTAATGGAGTCCAAGTTGAAGTATCAGCTTTAGGCATCCATTTACGATTCATGGGTGTGTCAAGTGTGGCAGGCAATATTGAAACAGCTTGAGCTCCTGCAGGTAAACCACCATTTTCATCGGCCAATGATTTCGTCAAATGATGTATTGCTGCTTTAGCTAAACCATAACCAATCATTCCTGGTGTGGGACCAAGAGCAGCTTTAGCACCAGTCAATACTAAAATACCTCCAGGTTTTAAATATTTGGACGCAATGGATGATGCTAATACTGAGCTCGCAACACTTTGTTTTAACATCAAATGAGTATTTTTTACAAAATCTGTGTATAAAAATAAAATAATAATTTATAATGTACATGTATCAACATTTTTACGTAAGCTACGATTTAAAAAAAAAATCAAAAAAGCTTATTTTTTTTTTCACTTAACATCAGAGCTTGAGCTACCGCCGGCCCAACCACCAGCAACACATATTACAGCATCTAATTTTTCAGATCCTAAAAAGGAATCGAGCTCCTTCAAAATTTGTGATTCCTTAAAAAGTAACACAAATGTAATAATTTAATATAACAATTGTTTACAAATAGGTAATTATTATTTATTCATTTTACTGTATTATAATTTTACTACTGCCGTCAAGTATAATATTATGCTATCTGCTTATATACAGCACATTGATACAGGCAGAATGAAAATCTTCACAAAATAAGTATTTTCAATTAAGTGAATTCAATGGAGTACAGTCAAGTATAGTCATATTTTGATGCGGTGCCTAGTCATGTATCAAGTCATTTTTGTTGCTCCAAAATTCACAGTAAAGACATGACAAGGACTAACAGAGCAGTTTAATTTAGAGAACAGCCACTTCCCATTTTTAAGTATATTTTCAAATGTAAAATATATTTCAAGTCAAAAATATTTTTCATATTATATTTCTATTTTGAAGTTGTTTTACTTGTTCTAATATTGTAGCATCCCGTTCCAAGATCACATTAGCATTTGCAACTTCATTATGACTTAGGTCTATTGATCCAACCCACTGAAAATTAAAAATAAATACTAATTATGTTATATAACTATAATATTATGAGGATATATTTTATACATTCACATTATCTAAAGGGTAGGTATTAATTATATTTTAAATCTTAGTTTTAACTTTTAACAGTTTATCCATTTATTGATAGGATTAGTATTCATATATTACAATAAGTCAATAAAAAGTATTATATTCAACATATTCACATAATTTCATTGTGTAATATATAACAACTATTTGCCTGTTTGTTTGGGTATATCATAATACTTAAACCTTTTATAATGTAAAATTAATTGCTTTTACTAAGTATTTTATATTAATTGTATTGTTAACGACTAACAAAACAATTTTGAAATGATATTAAAATCAGGTAATTATTTAACTTAGATACTTATTATTTGAAATATTTTACCAGATGTGTTAACGTTAATAAATTTATTAACTATTTTGTGCAACAAAAATTAATATAAATATAGTTAGGTCTTAAGTGTATATACCTAGAATAATCATAACTTGATTTTTCAAATACTTAAATGGTCTTCGCATTTCTGTAGGCACTCATTTTATTGATTATTTTATAATAGGTACCTATGGTATTATATCACTTAAGTAGGTACATACATTTATGTGTTTTCAAACTTTAAATCAATAAAACCAAATAATTATGTGTTATTTAAATGTTAGAATGATTATAATAATACATAATTTAAATTATTTTAAATAAAGATCTTTCAAAATTAATTTTAATAGGTAGGTACTTAGTTTTTCGTTTATCACACAAGTCACAACTATACATAATCACATTTCATCATTAAATATTATGTAAAGATTACTGTTTAATCATTAATACTCAACAATTAGGTTCTTGTGAATTCATAGTTATATAGATCACAGTAGACTAATTTTTACATAGATAATCATATTTAATTAAAACATGTAATTCGTTTTCATCTGGCTTCAGTTCTTATAATTGGCTTTATAGCTATACTATGATTTGCTAAGAGCGAGTTTATAGTTTTCTCGTACTTAAATTAGCTCTAATTTCATTTAAAACCGTAATATAATGTAAAAATGTGTTGTAAGACTATTTATACACTTTCAAATGATCGTGAAACTCATGTGTACCTATTATTATTATAGGTAGATGACCTCGAATTATATAACGATTCGTATAATTATTATATACCTCTGGTTATACTACTTTCATTGGTGTTCAAATCGCGCCGCAGCAGCAACAGAATTTACATGATTATTATATTTTATTCACAGGTAGGCTGTATTATTGTTATCGGGCAAGCACGACCTACATATTTTTTATTATGCTTACATATTTTTGGGCCGTGAGGAACGATATGCACGTCGATCCCAACGCTCCTTTTCCTCCGTACACCAATATTTTGCCGGCAGCCATCGCAGCGTAGACGACAATAATTGTATTATAATGTTTGACACCGAAAAGGCGAGTGACCCACGACAACAGTCGTCAACAATGTCAACAGTTGTCAGTTACCGTCTCTGGGACCGACGTGGTATGTGGACCAACGAAAATAAAACGAGCGGCGGTGAGCGTCACGACGACCGGCGAACGACTGCAGAGGGAATCGTAGAGTGAACGTGTGACCGTGTCGCAAGTGACTGAGGCGACTGTGCCACTGTGGTCTGTGAGCTATACTATCGTAACGCGAATGCAGTAATCCTTGTGTACGCGAATATCGTGATGGTTTATTGTTGTTGTGGTTGTAAATCGTAATAGAAAGGCAGTGGACCGAACGGACAGGTATTATTGTGTACGTCTGCGCCCGCCGCGCCGGGCGGCCGCGGGGCGTTAACATTTTGAAATTCGCGGGGCGCGGACCGCTGAAATATGCATAATGATAATGTTATTAATTATTATTAAGGGGATTCGATACCGTGATTTTCTTTTTTTGTCCAACACACGCCGGACATAGTATTTTAGACGTGTTTTTTGCCAAACATTCCAATTTATCTATTGAAGTGATAAGATTTCTGAAAACAGATTTGAATTTGTCGTCGAGTTTACTTAAAATCAACTTTCCCACATTTTTGATTTTTTGATTTTAACTTCTCCAAAAATTGAAATAACAGAATTTTTAAATACTCTTTTTGAATTCGACATTTTAAAAAATGTGGGGGATAATATCAAAAATGTGGGGAAGTCGATTTCAAGTAGACTTGACGACAAATTCAAATCTGTTTTCAGAATTCTTATCGCTTCATTAGATCAATTGGTATATTTGGCAAAAAAACACGTCGTGTGTAATATTTTACGATATTATGCCCACGTAACTTTGATGAAATTATTATGTATACTCAAAATACAAATAGGAAAATCGTCGCCTGTAGAATCTCATAATACCAGTTGATTCAGTCATCAGAGAATAACATTATTATTTATTAATATTTATCATGTTCACCAATGACTTATCATACGAAAAATAGCCGCTAGTCTTTGATATTTGATAGTTTGTTTTATTCGCGTTGTTCCGTAAGCCAACAATCGTAAAATCGTTTGTTGGGTCATTATGCTACGATGAGTGATAACACAAAGGGTACAGTGTTGTTGATAGAAGATTGTTCAATACAACTGGTGTAAGTATTGCATAATACAGCCCCCGCGCGGCCGCGCATGGGAATATTGGGAACTCAGGTTGAGTTACTCAGTGCTCAGCTCCTAAATTAGTTTTTGATTTTGATAAGCGTTCCCATACTAAATTTTCCTAAAAGAACGCAGGAGTATCTACTAGTGGCGTCATTTGTTGGTGGCAGGGGGTATATGCCTCCCCCCCTCCTCCTCAATTGTCATTAGCGGGCTGCTATCGGGACAGGTATGGGTTAGTTTTGGGCCTTCATATAGTAAATAATAGCTAATATATTTAGGTATCCCTCATTCCCTCCCACCAAAGTCTACATGTATTAATTATTTAGTCATTGTTATGCCTCAAAAAATTTGTTTTTTATGCCTATGATAGTAACCTATAATACCTACTTAATAGAAGTGTAAAACCATGTAAGAAGGCTATAATATTCTGTATTGAGATAAAAATGCAATTGTAAAGTAATTGTTTGCGAGTGGTTTTTTTTAAATTTTTTTCAGTTTTATGATGGGCTGTTCAAAAATGTTGCCCCCCTCTCAAAAACTGAAATAATGCCACTGAGAGGTACGTGGTGTTAATTAATTTCACTAAAAATGTAATATTTTAAAAATATTGTGAAAGTATGTTTTGTACAAAATATATATAAATATCAAATATTTCAGAAAGTGCTCTGGACGAAAATCCATTAATTTTAAATACAATACTATATGGACAGATGAATCCAAATTTACTAATAATGGTGTTATAAGCAAACAAAATAACCGTTACTGGGACTATCAAAATCCACATTGGACATTTGAAACCAATAACCAAACTGTTTGGGGAACAAACGTTTGGTGCGGTTTAATTGGAAGTAAATTGCTCGGTCCATTTTTTTTTTCCACTCAATGGTACACGATATTATAATTTTTTATTTGATGAATTTTTTACCGATGATGCTTGATGATATTCCTTTAGCTCTAAGCGAAAATATTATTTTTCAACACGACGGTGCTCCAGCTCACTATGCTCACATAGTTCGCGACTATTTAATTGCACAGTTTCAAAATCGATGACTAGGAACTTACGGACCCATTCAGTGGCCACCACGTTCACCTGATCTTACGTCACTAGATTTTTTTTTATGGTTAAAAACAATAGTGTATGCAGACCCTCCTATAAATCTTCGACATTTAAAAGATAAAGTGCTGAGTTTTGAAAAACTAAGTTCACAGCAACAACTAGTCACTGAAATTGTCACAAACATTTTAAGACAATGAAAAAAATGTTTAATACTGATTTAACCAATCGAGCTATTTGTGTACAAAACCTGAGTTTGTATACCGTTTGATGGATCTTCTTGGTGTATTGATAAAATAGTATTATCATTTTTCATTTGAATAACATTGAACATTTATATTTTAATTTAATAATAAATTCAATATGTTTAAAATTATTCATTCTATGTATATACCTTTCAAATAAATATCTACCAGCCCACTAAATCCAAAATAAATTGTCAGGTGCAGCGAAAGCAGCATTCACTGCACCCGTGCGCACTCCTATGATTTATACACAGATATAAAATATTTTATACTGTGGATTTATACGTTAAAATAACTAAATATACTTACAACATAAATAAGAATTAAATGTGTTATTAA